AATTTATAACATAACACAAGGTGAGAGTTTTCAATCCCCAATTTCCAACTTACCCTTTCCACAATTTCTGAGTGATTAAAATCTTAGGCCCAACTATTCCAAAAGACTACCTATAATGGCTCCTTGCAAGCAAAAGACTTCTCAGGAAAGACTCCTTATATCTCTCTTCTAGTAACACTTCATTTTTGATACAAAAGTTCAAATCAGTTAAGGATTTAAAAGAGAAAAAAAAAGAGAAGTACCATCAAGGTAGTTGATAACAGCTCAAAGATAATTTATGATAATGATGCTTGGTGGTGGCCGTATGCTAATTTCAGAAGTGACATGTCCTGGACATAGGCAGGATGTATTAATATTTGAGGTTAAAAGTATTGCTAGTTGTCATGAATATGACTTAATAAGAATAAGGTTTCACATGACTTGGTGTAATGTGTTCACACTAGGGTGCTATTCATGCTGCTAGGTACAATAGGAGAAAGAAGCTATCTATCATACGGAGCCTAGTCTTCCGGAACTATACATCAAATTTTCTACGGTAAAAGTCTTCAATGCCACAACCCCGGCGTGGAAATATCTACAATGCCACAACGTGCCAGTGTTAGACTAGTACCGGTAACGATAATTTTTCACCATGACACAACTCATTACTTTCTTTCCTTCCTGAGTGTTTGTGGATGTTTTCCTCCTCTGATCCTATGGTGGTAGCCTTATCTGATCTCCATCTAGCTCCGGCCTTGGGGCAACGTTTCTCTTCCTTTGATGGAGTCGCGGGGGTTTTGCGTGACTGGTCTGTTGGTGAAAAGTCCAGCTACTGAGTTTCCACTGGCAAGTGAAATTCAACTTGAGGAATCTATGTCTGCAAGGGTTCAAACTGCCTATGGATCGACAACCTGTGTTTAGGGGTGTGTATACTCATGTAAACAGTTGTAGGAGAGGGGGGGGCGCAAAGATCAGAGACCGAACTAGTCTAAGGTATTGTGGTATTGTGGATATTTTCATGCCAAGGTTGCGGCATTAAAGACTTCTACCGAATTTTCTATCGTGGTGCTCTATCAAACTCGCTCTGTGCCAAATTTGGCAACTAGTGTGAATTGATCCGGAGCAAACCCTAGAATTACTTAACTAGGGCTGAAGAAGAGAGTGCTAAACCCGACCCAAGGCAGACCAAAGCTCTGCCCAGTGAGAGACGACCCAAAGGCCCACAATGTAAACAAGGCCATGGAGCCATTGTGGGCTGCATGCAGAGTGGACTGGTTGACATATGCGGGAGCTAAACTGAGTTTGATGGAGCACAGAGAATTACTCTGCCCCCCTGGATAATATGAGATCAAGGAGGATTAATACTCGGTCGGAAATGGTGCAGGAAGTTTAATCTCGTTCCTATCCTATATAAATTCTATGCGTAGCCCTTCCCCACTACCTCCTTGATTATCTACTTGCGTTAGCTCAATCGATTTTTGGATTGGGCATTTGGCCAGCTTAATCCGTCCTGGTTCCAGTATTTGTTCCTCATCAAGAGGGCAAACCCACGTTAGGCGGGCTGTCCGTATTTGGCGTATAAGAGTATTGGTTGTCTCGTGAGCGCCGTATATTCTACCACTACCTATCAAGGATAGGCTTCAATTCTAGGTGACTAGAAGTTCCTTATTTTGTTGATTACAGACCTACAGGACACCAGCTAACTAATATTCCACCAAGAGACTTGGGTTGTCCCATAACCGTGCCAAGGTCCCCGCCAGTTCAATGGACGCTGGGCAGCCTTTGAACCAGCTCAACGTAACAACTTCGCAGCTCAACATAACTTTTACCCGATATGTCAAACTCAATGCCAAATTGACTACCCTAAACCTATTTAATAATGCCTGAAAATTATCTAGATAGTGAGGGGGGAAGCTAAGAAGCCAGAAAAAAAAGATTGATCTCAAAAAACCAGATTTTGCTGGATATATTTTGATTTACTTAATGAAAAACGCCCGCCTGAAGAACGCCCACATGAGTTCCCAGTGCCATGACAAACACTTGGGCAGGAATGTCCCGCTATAAGACTCTTGGAAAGATTCTCTACCGCAACTCCGAATCCTAATTTTGTAGGCTCAAGAAAACATTTATATATATCTCAAATGTCCTCAATATGTACTCGAGTATATATTACTCAAGTATTATTGAATAGGTTGTGGTGGGTGAATATAGCTTTGAATTTGGCATGTCGGGCAAAAGGTACGTTGAGCTGGTTGGCACTCCTACGGAACGCCACCTCCCTCAAAGACTGCGTAGGTCCTTTGAAGGGGTGGGAACATTGGCACGGCTGGTACCGGTATGCCGTTTGTACTGTAGCCAGGAAAATCTTGTGGTTGGGTGGGCGCGCCGTACTTGTACTCGTACAGTGCACGTACTTGGTGGCGTTTTCGTAATTGCGCTCGGCGCCTTCAGAGACGTGGAGAATAGAAGGAAAAGTTTTGTGGGCAGAAACCGAATGTGAAATGGGGGCTGCAAGGCTACAGGTATTCTCGAGTACCGGTACCGTATGCTATGGGTAAAGTTATCAGAGACCACATGGTTTGTTGGTGGCCCTGTAGCCGGTTAGATTACTCATCCACCGGTATTGGAGGAAGTTATTCCGACCCCGGTCCTACCATCTCGGGGGGGCTCGACGCAAATCAGCCAGTGTTGAAAGGGGGGGTGAGAAAATTTTCATGCACCTGTCCAATCACGGGGGTGAAGGCCTGTGGTGTCGCATCTGTTTGGTCAGCGGGCTTTACGAGTACGAGGACTAACCAACGGCGGCGGCTAGACCCATGTTCGACCTTGCCCTATCGAATCCTGTGTAACCCGGTGCATAAGCTGGACTTGCGGGGTCTACCGTGTGGCCGTTACGGAATCCGTGCCAATCCTGACAGGCTCCGACCTGGCTCCAGCGTGCTGAGGGTGTTTACTTGAGGACTTTACTTGTGCCTGTACTCGCACACTCTCCGTTAATCTCGATGCGCGAATATTGTGCTAGAGCACAGTACGGTACTCGGGCGCCGTAACCCTGCCGGTACAGTAGTTCATAATGCTCGCCGGCATGGCGCTGGGCAAAAGGAATCTGTTCACGCCCATCGCTGAGTTTTTCTGCTCGTAAAATGTGTTCCTCTGAAGGGCAATTTGCGCCCGATGATTATGAGGGTTGATTGGCTCATGGCGGCCCCTGTGCAAGACCGAGCCAGGGATGCCCGTCCACGGGAAAGACCTGTTGAGGCAATCGGATCCACAGCAACATGTGTGTGTCTATAGAAGTCATCCTCCGTGAGTTACCCGTAGTGGAGGCTCCCGTGGGACCGGTTTGTGTCGGAAGAAATCGCTTCCTGTGTTTCTTTTTGCAGACACAGTTGTGCATAAATCTCCTGTTTGAGTTCTCGGGTACACTTTGTGCCAGGTGGGTTAGGATCAAGGAGAATTCACTCTCTCCTACTCGTACGAGTACTGAACTCGGGTGCTACCGTACTCCAAGCGCGAGCAGCAGCATTTCAAGGGCGCAGTGCTGTACTCGAGTACTCGAACGGCAGAGTTGAAGTTGGGCACCCAGATACTTGCAGACCGACGATCGCCGGACCGATAAGGAGCCCATGCCGGGCAACGCCACTGATAATACCAGACAATGGTACAGTACCAGGTACTGTACTCGAGTACTCGAGTACTTGTGATAAAAAAAGAAAAATGTGGCCTTGCAGACTTTGTTTTCCGTGAGCTTGCAACCCACCGCGGCCCGGTAGCTAGGATCTGGCCCTCGAAATTGCACTAATACTTTACTGCTACAGTACTTACATTATGAATATACCCTTTGAAGCCTCTCGCGCGGGACAGAATACTATTTTTAAATAACATCTCGAGGAAGAGCTCCCATGTTTCTGAGGCCAGTCTGCCACCGTACATTGCCGCTTATTTTAAAAAATTCTACGATATACTGCATATAGAGTAACCAATAGTATGTCTAGCACCCTGGGGGCACCCATCGATCGGCCCGCCGGTCACAATCGGTAGTTACGTGGGTTGCCCAAATCAGCTCAGCCGCGTGATCACAGTCCGGTACGAGGACGTACTCGAGTAAGGGTTGGCTTGCAGTTGGGCCAATCGCGGCTGGGTACCGGATGCAGTTGCTGTTGCTATGTGTAAGTGCTGGCAGTTGGAAGTCCCCGTTCTTGGAAAACATCGCTCTCAAAAGATTACCTCTCGTTACTGTTCCCCACCACATTTTTGAATCCACGTTTGAAAAGCACAACTCAAAAGAATCTCAAGCTTGAAGGCCCACTCACCCTCGAAAGCGAACCTCAGCTTTTACTCATCTTTCTCTCCCAAAAAGTACCGAGCTATCATCGTCTCATCTCTGCACCATCCCCTTCACCCCATATCATCCGTGAGAAAAAAATGGCAGAGGCCTTCCCCGTGGCTGCCAGCGGCTTGGATCTCATTCGCCTTAGCGCGGAGGTTTCCGAACTTTGCTATGGCTACTACAACACAGTCAAGGGGAGCAAACAAGATGTGAAGAAACTGGGGGATGGGATTAAAAGTATCCATCAACAGCTCACGGAAATCCGAAGCCTTGTCGCCGGAGATGATGAGAGCAACCCACAATACCCTAGCCTTCTTGAATGGGCAAAGAGCGAAAGCTTAAAGGATTACATGACCGCCCTGGTGGAGCTGCAGGAAAAGCTGGATGTTCAGGGATGGAAGAAATCCCTGAGAAAATATGTTTGGCCCATTCGCAAGCTCAAAATGCATCATTTCCTAGGCCTGGTTGAAGAGCAGAGGTCGAAACTTCATCTTTTATTAACCATAGCCACTACGTAGGTTATCCATTCTTTTGTATCCCGAGAATCCGCTTCCCTTTTTTCCTAGGTGGCAAGGCTAACTAGTTGTTCAGGAAGACTGTAACTAAAGTATTGCGAAAACTGAATGGTACTTGGTCACATTATCCCTAGCGCTACCAATCTTTCTCTTTACTAATACCAGATATTCCTGAAACCCCAGAGAGTGAATTACGGGAAGTATGGGAATGGCTTAATGTCGTTGACCCTGCCTCCAATTATTCATGCGCCCTGGCTCTTCGTGAACCCGGTACTGGGGGTTGGCTGCTCAGGGGACCCGAGTACATCGATTGGAAGGAAGGCAGAGGGGGGGTTCTCTGGCTCCATGGAATACGTACGTCTACAGATGAGTGAAGCCTTATGCTTCGAAGAACATCACTGACATTTGTGTCTACTAGCCGGATGTGGCAAGAGTGTACTGAGGTGCGAACTTAACCGGGTGTCCAGAGGCGCAATATGATTTCTTTATTGCTAACTCATTCTTTAGTGCTACTGCTATTCAAGATGTCGAACATCTGTGCAACACGAACGATGATTACGCATTAGCTTATTTTTACTTCACCTTCAGCGACTCCGAGAAGCAGAAATTGTCCAATATGCTTCTGTCCCTTATTGGCCAGCTTCCAAAAAGGCCTTCAGACCAGGGCTTGCCGCGTGAGATTGTCGACCTATATCATAGCACCAAAGCAATTGGAAAGTCGGCAGAAACCGGACCTCTGAAAGATCTATTGTCGCAGATTATAAGGCGTTTTAGGAAGACATTTATTATTTTGGATGCATTGGACGAGGTTCCTAGGTCCGAGCGGGAGGACCTCCTGTCTTGGCTCGACAAGCTAACTGCCGATCACAATTTGGAATCACTTTCCATTCTCATCACCAGTCGCCCCGAGGCTGATATAGTAAGATCCCTAGCACCACTTATCGCCTTTTCAATATCACTACAATCCGAAACCATCGATCCCGATATCCGGACATATATACAGAACTCGCTAGACGGAAGGGATGGTTTTAGGAAATTTACGAAAGAAATAAGGAGCGAGATAGAGGAAACGCTGGTTTCAGGCTCACAGGGAATGTGTGTTATGCCCAATCACTGAAATTTTGCTTATGCTAATCTTGTGGCGGGGCCTTAAGGTTCCGATGGGTAGATTGTCTTCTACGGATTCTGGAAGAATCCATGACGCCAAAATCTGTGAGAGATGCAATGAAGGAACTCCCGGGAGACTTAGATTCCGTCTACGCCAGGATCCTCGATATCATTCCTAAGAGGCAGAAGGAATTCATTCAGCGCGCGATGCATTGGCTTGCATTTTCAGCAGCGCCATTGACATTAGGCCAGCTTGCGGAGGCTGTTGCGATCAACTACGATGTCACCAAATATGGCGAGGATTCGGAAACTTTTTTTGATATGAGGTCCCTCATGAGCATTTGCCCCAGCCTTATTTCCTTTGAAGACGCCCGGGACGATGAATCATCCTCCCAGGAAAACCGGCGATTACGACTAGCACATTTCTCGGTAAAGGAATATTTGACTTCTGACCGCGCAGCTCAGGGCCCCAGTTGCTACTATCACATATCGGAGGACAAAGCCAATTTGCTGATGGGGCATGCTTGTCTCAGTCGGATACTGCGACATAGCGCACACGGCACTATACCCGGGGAAGAAGTCAAAGAAACATCATTTCTCTACCACAGTGCTCGCTATTGGTTTGTGTATACCAGATCTATTGAGGATAAGGCACCCGCTCCACTCTCCAATGCTGCATTGAAGGTCCTCGAGCTAGGAAAGGGCTGGTTAGATGTATATGACCCCGATAGCCCTTACCGGCATAAAGGCCCGGATTCAGATGTTTCCCCGCCACCGCTCTACTATTCCTCCTTTTTAAATTTGATGATACCCTGCAAATTACTAGTCGACAGAGTGGAGGGTACAGCCGGTGTGAATGCGCAAGGCGGCCGTTATGGTAATGCGCTACAAGCAGCTGTATTTTGGGGAAACGAATCGGTTGTGCGGCTTCTCTTAGAGCATGGAGCAGAGGTGAATGCTGAGGGTGGTCTTTATGGCAATGCACTCCAAGCAGCTGCAATCCAGGGAAACGAATCGATTGCGCGGCTTCTCCTCGAGCGTGGGGCAGAGGTGAATGCGAAGGGTGGCCGTTACGGCAATGCATTATACGCAGCTGCATACCAGGGAAACGAATCAGTTGTGCAGCTTCTCCTCGAACGCGGCGCAGAAGTGAATGCTAAGGGTGGACTTTATGGCAATGCACTCCAAGCAGCTGCAATCCAGGGAAACGAATCGGTTGTGCAGCTTCTCCTTGAGCGTGGGGCGGAGGTGAATGCTCAGGGTGGCTATTTC